TTATTGCTCTTGGGGTTCCAAACTGGGTGAAAATGTTTTTCTTGAGGAATTTGATAACAACCTTAGCATCATTTGTTGGGGAGGCAATGGCTTCAACCCATTTAGATACAATATCCACTGCTACCAAAATGTAATGATTGTTGAAGGACTTAGGGAATGGCCCCATGAAGTCAATTCCCCACACATCAAATAATTCTACCTCAAGCATGTTATTCAGAGGCATTTCATTTCTTCTGGATATATTTCCAATCCGCTGGCTGTCACATCTAGCATTATGGTAAATGGAAATAAGAAATATTCTCAAATCATTGAGGATTAAAAATGATAAGGAGAAGTAGAAGAATTTTGGTGGAAAATAAATTACCATAATTTTCCAAGCCAATTATAGGAATTTGACGAATTAAGGAAAATTGGTCAAATTGTAAATAAGGAAAAATATTTCCAAGCCTTGAAAAATTAAGAAAAAATAAGGATAATATCCTTTGAGAGTTATATGAAATTATAAAGTTGGTTTTATGACCAAATTACCCTTAGAGAAATTACAAGAGAATTTAAGGGTGATTTAGGCTAATTAAGGGATTTTATTTGGAAAATTCCAAATAAATATTTTTAAGGAGAATAAAATTCCAAGAAAATTCCTATGAGACCCTAAAGAATTATATGAAATTATGGAATTAAATGAAGACCCTCAAGTATCTAAGATTTTTCCAAATACTTGTGAAAAGTGGAAAAATCCCTAAAGAGAAGGAAATTAATTTTCTTTTTATTCAATTATTAGGAAGTTAATTTTGAGGCAAAGAGGGCAATTTGGGAAGATAAAAATGAGGAGAATAAATTAAGGATTTGATAGAAAATAATTACAGAGGCCAAACTACTGTAATTATAGAAACAAAGTTAAACTCAGAGCAAAAGTATACTGATAAAGCAAGACTAGTGTCTTGCAAATCAAATGGATCACATTGAGCCATGTGTCAAGCTCTTGATGGAGAGGATTTGAATTTGCCAAGTGTCACTCCTCAAATGAAGAGGATCTTGACTTTGGTAATTAATTTCTTTTGGATTTTGTTAATTAAGAAAGAGAAAACAAGATTAAAGAGGGTAATGACACTTGGACTCTCATTAAAGATGGTAGTTGAGATATTTTGGACCATTAAACAAGCTCATCTTCCCCCATTTTCATATGCATGTTTCGGCCAAGGGAGGAAAGGAGAGAAAAGAGAGAGTTTTGAGGAAGAAACAAGAGAAAGCTTGCACCTTTGACCATACAACCAAGGATTTGAGGTTAGTTCTTGGTTCTAGATGGGTTCTTGCTTTGTTGTCTTTCTTTTTTATGGTTGACAAAAACTGTTCTCCTCTCCTTTTAATGCTGGCTGAACTGATTGTTTAGAGGGGAAGGGAGTTTTGTTGATCACACTTGCTAAGACACATCAAAACATGTTAGCTCCTAGTGGTTGCAAGTGAGTATGGGTTGTTTTGAAGCATTTTTCTTGGTTGTTTCTTTAAATGTTCATTTCGGCTAAGATGATGATTGAACCCTAGGATGATTTTTTTCAATGTTTTAAGGCTTCCATGATGCTTAAAATAAGAAATGGTGTAAGGTAAACCAAAAGGAACAAGTGTTGGAAGCATTAAAACAAAGTTGTAATTTTGGTTCAAGTACCCCTAGTGGTTCTGTCAAGGGGTAGCTGAAAGAAAAAGTTTTATTTTCATAGATCTAAGCACATATTTGGAATCTACATGAAAAATCATGTAGAAATAAGTCAAGAAGCAATTTTTAGGGTTAAAAGAAAACAAGTTCAAAAATAGTGAATAAAGGTGGAAGCTTTAAGGAGCAAGAGTCATTTTTGATTGTGTTCTTGCTTTTTCTTGATTGGTTAATGATTCTTGCTACCCCTTTTGATGGATTGCATTGCTAGGGTTTGATATTTGTGAGGGGAAAGAAGAGAAAAAAAGAAAGCTCAAGTTTTTGGAGCAAGGTAGCAAGTTAAACCTAGCTACTAACACTAATTTGGCATTATTGATTATTGCATGATTAATTGCTATTATGTGGTTGAACTTTCTTGATTATAATGTGGCTGCTCTTTGTACTTTCTTGCTTTGGCCTTTGCATGATTGATTTTGCCAAATGATAAGCATGCTAGTTCACCAATAGTAGTTAACGTAGTTATGCATGTTGATGATGCTTGTTGGTGATATAGTTGGTTAATTTGCTATTGGGATTTCAATGAAATCTCATTCCACAAATGCAATCTAACATTTTAGGGCCTGAATCCTCCAAGGGAAAGCTGCAAATTGAAGGTTAAATTTGTGGTGTCTTGCCACAAAATTTCGTGGATCTTTTTGGCTATGTATATATTATACTAACAGTGCTTTAACACACTAACACTGCCACGTTCACGTGACTTTTTGATTAAGCTCCCAAACGCTTTTAGTCAAAAAATTTGGTATGATTTATAGATAATGTCCTGAGCTTCAATTTGATAGCTAACATGTTAAAAATGTCCAAGTATACTATTTTTAATGATTTTTCAAAGTTAAGGGTCAAAATATGAAAAGAAGGGTTTTGGCAAATGGACAGTGTTACCTTTCACAAAAACCTGACGCTTTTTCCTAAGGAATTGAATTACAATATTATTTTTTCTTGAAATATAAGTTAAAGAGCTTTAAATATAATTTTAAACCACCCCATTTTGATTTTTTGGAATAAGTTATGAATTTTCAAAGTTAGGCCAGAAAAACTGGATTTTTACCCGATGAACAGTAAAAATATGAAATTTAGCATTTTTTAGATAAAAAGTGAGCCAAAGACCATCCAATGTGGTTTTAAATGGAACCTAAATTGATAAAATAGTAAGATGTGACACTGGCAATGATCACAAGTCAACACAAATTCATGTGCATCTTTAAACAAGCTAGAAAAATCCAGATTGCAAGACCTTTGCAGCAGTCTTGTTACCCCCAAAGTGGCCTCCATATTTAGATGAATGATAGCATCTTAGAATTTCTTCTTGTTCACATTCTGGTACACGCCTTCTTAATAATTGGTCAGCATAATGATAAAACAAGAATGGTTCCTCCCAATGGTAGAGTTTGACGTCATGTAGGAATTTTCTCCTCTGATGATGATTCAAATCCTAGGGAATAATGTTGCACACAATAAACTTGACAATATCAGCATGCTATGGCTCCTCAGTGTGAACTATAGTAAAAAGCTGTTCATCAGGAAATGTTTCATTAATGGTCTTATCAGCTTCAAATTGAGCATCAGTACTCAATCTAGATAAATATCAGCAACTTGATTTTTGGTACCTTTTCTATCAACAATTTCTAAGTCGAACTCTTGCAGTAAAAGCACCCATCTAATTAGTCTTGCTTTTGACTCTTTCTTACTGAAAAGGTATTTGAGAGCTGAATGGCCAATATACACCGTGACCTTGGCCCCCACCAAGTATGATCAAAACTTCCCAAATGTAAACACCATAGCAAGCAACTCTTTTTCTGTGGTGGTGTAGTTTTTTTGAGCATCATTGAGGGTACAGCTTGCATAGTAAATTGGGTGAAAAGTCTTGTCCTTCTTCTGCCCAAGTACTACTCCTACAGCATAATCGCTAGCATCACACATCACAATGAAGGGCAAATTCCAATATGGAGCTATCATTATTGGAGTAGAAACAAATCTCTTCTTCAATTCTTCAAATACTCTATAGCATGCATCATCAAAATTAAACTCTATATCCTTTTCAAGTAAAGCACAGAGTGGCTTGGTGATTTTTGAAAAATCTTTGATGAAACGATGATAAAAACCGGCGTGTCCTAGGAAACTTCTCACCCCTTTTACATTCGTTGGTGGGGGAAGTTGTTCAATAACTGAGATCTTTGCTTTGTCAACCTCTAGTCCATCCTTGGACACTCGATGATCTAACACAATACCCTCTTTTACCATAAAGTGGCACTTTTCCCACTTGAGGACAAGGTTGGTTTCTTCGTATCGCTGTAGAATACTTGCTAGATTGATTAAACACTCTTCAAATGAATCACCAAAGACTATAAAGTCGTCCATGAATACTTCCATGGTGTGCTCAATCATGTCTGTGAAGATGGCCATCATACACCGTTGAAATGTAGCTGGTGCATTGCACAACCCAAAAGGCATACGTTTAAATGCAAAGGTTCTATAAGGACAGGTGAAAGTTGTTTTCTCTTGGTCTTCCAAAGCAATAGCAATCTGATTGTAGCCAGAATACCCATCCAGGAAATAGAAGAATTCCCTTCTGGTAAGCTTATCCAATATTTGATCAATAAATGGGAGAGGGAAGTGATCTATCCTCATTGTAGCATTCAACTTCTGGTAGTCTATGCATACTCTCCACCTCGTGACAGTTCAAGTAGGAATCAGCTCATTATGAGTGTTAGCTACTACAGTCATACCGCCCTTTTTATGGATGCATTGGACTGGGCTCACCCAAGAGCTATTAGAGATGGAATAAATGATTCCTGTATCAAGCCACTTGAGAATTGCCTTCTTCATCACTTCCTTCATGATCGGATTAAGTCTTCTTTGATGTTCAACAGAAGCCTTACATTTGTCTTCCAGTTGAATCTTATGCATACAAGTAGAAGGGCTAATACCTTTAATGTTTGCAATTGTCCATCTAATGACCTTTTTGTGAGCCTTAAGGACTTCCACCAATTGCTCTTCTTGTTGCACATTTGAGATTAGAAGAAATAATCACCAGTAGGGTTTTGTCAAAGCCCAAATAGACATATTACAAATGAGACGGCAATGCTTTAAGTTCAAGTGTTAGAGGCTGTTCAAGAGATGGCTTCAAAGTTGGTCTGTCTAAAAATGAAGGGTTTAAAGTTTCAAAGTGTTCTCGACCCTTGGAGTAAGAAGATGAAGCATTCATCAATGCTAATACCTCCTCTACTTGTGCATCATTTGTTTCTAGCCCCTACAATGCTGCTTCAAGAGGGTCCTCAAACATTGACTTTTTAAAATCCTATTGCACAATCTGATCAATAATGTCTATAAAAGAACACTGCTCACGACGGCTTGAGGCTTTCATCAAATGGTACATGTTGAATGTCACATCTTCATCATCAACTCTCAAAGTTAATTCCCCTTTTTCAACATCAATAAGGGTTCTAGCAGTTGCCAAGAACGGTCTCCCTAGGAGCAAAGGCATCTCTTTATCGGCTTCAAAGTCAAGCACAATAAAGTCAGCAGGGAATATGAATTTATCGACCTTAACCAACACATCTTCAATGATCCCCCAGGATACAACATGCTTTGATCAGCTGGCTGTAAAGTAACAGTAGTTGGTCTAGCTTCACCCAACTCTAACTTATTGAAAACTGAGATCGGCATCAAATTTACACTAGCTCCTAGATCACATAAACCTTGCCCTAATAACTTATTTCCAATATGACAAGGAATAGAGAAACTTCCCGAATCCTTCTGTTTAGACAGAATTTGCTTGATGACATCTGTGAAACTCTTAGTCACTGCTACAGTTTCATACTCAGTAAACCGCCTCTTCTTTGACAGAACATCCTTTATGAACTTAGCATACTTTGGCATTTGTTCTAGAGCTTCAACCAAAGGTATGTTAATGTGCAGCTGTTTGAACATCTTAAGAAATTTCTTGAATTGACTATCCCCTTGCCGTTTCTTCAGCTTTGAGGAAAAGGTGGCAGTGGCACAAATTTAGGAGGAGAGGTTAGTGTTTTCCTCTTCTTTTCCTCCACAACATCAAAAGTCATATGCTTGCCCTTTACCACATCTGCTATATCCTCCTCAGTTTTCTTTCTCTTCTTGTTGTCATCCTCAGAGATGGCCTCTTCATGTCTTTCTTCACTAATGTCAAGATCACTTGCCACTTCATTTTGAACTTCTTGTGCAACTTTCTTAGGACCAAAACTGTCATGAAGGACCTTGCCACTCCTTAAGGTGATTGCTTTACATTCCTCTTTACTGTCCCTCTTTGGATTAGGAACAGTGTCACTTGGGAGGCTATTTCTTGTGAAAACATTCATCTGAGAGGCTAATTGTCCCATCTGGACTTCAAGATTCTTGATAGCAGTCTCATGAAGAGAGAAGGTTGCCTTATTTTCAGCCCTTACCGATTCTTGGTTTGCTAATAACTGAGCAAACATCTTCTCGATTTTGGATTCCTCCTTCTGAGCATGCTGCTGCTGCAGTTGATGCTACTATGGTTGGCCATGAAAACCAGGAGGCCCCATTTGTTTAGTACCAGATGATAATAGTTGTGACGGATTCAAACTTGACCCATTCTGCCATGAGAAATTTGGGTGATTTCTCAAGTTTGGATTGTAAGTTTGAGAATAAGGGTTTCCTTACGGTCTTCACTACATATTGTTCATATAATTGACTATCTCCAAAGTGTAAGGGCACTGATCAGAATGATGTTCTTCATTACAATGGTCACAAGTGTACCCCGGAGCTTGAAGTACATGAACTCTTGCAACATTGCTTTTCTTAATTTGCATCTCCAAATTGTCAAACCTTTTGGAGATCGCTTCAAGTTGCGATGCAATATCTCTAGATGATGAAGAGCTCGGCTCCTTATATCTCCCAGAACTTTGCCTTCTCTTGTTATATTGTTGCATAGTGCTAGACGCCACCTCTTCATACAATTCATATAGCTCATTTACCTTCATCTTTCTGATTCCTCCATTCAAAGCGGTATTCAGCATTGTCACTGTCTGATCATTCAACCCATTCCAGAAAGCTTCCATTAGAACATATTTCTTCTGCTCATGATTTGGACAATTTCTCCACATATCCTTGAATCTTTCCCAAGTCTCGTAGAATAACTCATTCGGATACTACTCAAAAGAAAGCAATTCACCCCTTAGTGTAGCTCGTTTACCTCTAGGAATAAATCTGGCCTTGAACTTAGACATAAGCTCATCCCAAGTCTTAATTGAATGTCTTGGCAAGGAATTTAACCACATTTTCACCTTGTGAGATAAAGACATGGGGAACAATCTCAACCTCAGAGTATCTTTAGTAACCCTATTTTGCTTGAAGTTCTCATAAATTTCTATAAACTTGGTCAAATGCTCATTAGAATCATTATTAAAATTTCCTTCAAAAGTACTAATCATCCCTAGCAGTTGAATCATAACGGGCTCGATTTCAAAATTTTTGGCTTGAATGTCTGGTAATCGGATACTCGAATGAAAAGTCTGCCCTTCTTTATCCAAATAGTCATCTAGAGTATACACATCATTCTCATCTTCTTCCGCCATGTCTTCTTGCGGTTCTGTTTCAAGTGGTGGTGGTGGAAGTAGCTAGGGTTGTTGCTGAATCTCTGATGTGTTTTTAATTTCTCCCGAACTAGATTCTTCTTCAGTAACCTCTTCCAAAATAACTTCTAGTCTTCCTTGCATGCGTTAGGAGTTACTTGCGTATTCAAATCCAAAAACACAAGTATCAAACTTATCAAGTGAAATGAACTAAATAAATACTACTACTCTACCTAATTATCACTCCAAATGCTAAGAAAAACTTAAGCGTAACCTATCACACAATAAGGACAATCAATCACAAACAATGTTGCTGTTAGTCCCCGACAACGGTGCCAAAAACTTGTTCGTTGATTAGCTAAACCGTAAATGGACGGGTCGCAAGTAATATAAAAAGTATCGTTCCCTCATAGACTAAAGCTAGATGAGTTAAAAATCATAATTGTGCTCTTGATTAGGTTAAGTGAAACAAAAGTTATAAAAGAATTTGAGATGAAATTTGGAAAACAAAGATTTAAAGCAATATAAAATCAATTTGACTTTGAAACGAATAAGGGACTAGGGTTATTCTTCACTAAAATACTTTATAAAACTAGATTAATCATTTTTCAAGTAGTAATTAACAATAAGTTCAATTAGCTTGGGATTCCTAAAATTGATTAAGCTTTCTCAAGGCAAAACCAAATTTTTGCAATCACAATAAAACATAGCAATCTCTTGCATTTGTTTGCAAGGGTTGCACTTTGAAAACCAAAACCAATTTTAGTCTATGCTAGGTTAACAGATACATCTCTGTTCTATCAACAAACCATCCATTTACTCAGTTAAATTTTTGGACTAGCACGTTTTTACCAAAGTTCATAGATTAACTTAACTTTCTCAAGTTTAAACTAATCAAACAATCAATTCAAATGATGGGCAAACACAAGGAAGCATTAAGCTTAAGGTAAAAACAACTGAACATTATCATTAACATTCAAGAGATAGTAAAACCAAGTCTCAATCTATACAATAGATCAAAATAACCCTAGATAAACTGATTTGGCTATACATGTTTAGTAAGGAGCTGCGTCCATATGAATAGCTAGTAGTCATTACAGAAACAAGCAGGGAAGAAGAAGAAAACCCAGAAAATTTGAATAAAAAACTTTAAATCTATTTTAGCTTCAAGCCCAAAGATCCCAAGCCTCTGAAGCTCCAAACCCTAGTAGAGCGAGCCTCCAAAATCGCCCCAAAGTCAAAGTGTCCTAGAAAGACTGAGTCCCACCAAGTATATGCCCTACTTTTTAAGTTACAGCTCAAAACGCACAACTGGGAGAGAACAAACACCGATACAGATATGGTCATCCGCCGCGACGGATTACACAGAATGGATTCCTGGAAGCAGTATTGGCGCCGCAGCGCATGTGAACAGAGGCTGCGGCAGATTACACCGAATGTTAACTTCTTTGAGACAACTGTGGCGTTGCGGCGGATATGGTCAGGCGCCGCGGTGCCTACCATAGAATCGCAATCCTTTCTCTCTGTTAAAGTCGTTGTGGCGGTTGTCTCCATACACCGCGGTGGTTAGTCCTTTTCTAGCTCCTCTGCTTCTAATCTCTCTTCCTTGCTCGCTTCGAGCCTTTTCCTGCATAAATGACTTCCAAAACATACAAAAGAGCACTAAAAAAAGTTGAATAAGTAGAAATTTTTAGAGGTTATCAGTCATCTCACGGGGCAATGATCCTTCTTGACTCCTCCTCACAAAGCCTATTAAATCAAGTAAAAATATAGGTCACATTAACCATTAACCAACACAACATAAAACTTTAACTTTAACCAAACATTTTTGCCCCCTTTTTCTTTGATTTTTAAAAAAATGATTCCTCCTTTAGAATCAATAACTCCATGACGCATTCTTATACAATTTTTCATAAGGAATTCAAATATGAAATCATATTTTTAGAAATAAGACTTCTTCCCCTTCAAGTTGAGTTGGCCGAATAGGGGGTATATACTTCTGAAAATCCCATTTTTGATTCTAATGATTTTAAACACTTCCCAATAGTACATCCCCACACAAAAACATATTTTAAACCCATTAGAATCATCAAATCAATGCAAAACAAATTCCTCCAGCATGGCCGAATTGAACATATAGAACCCTAGGTATATTTTCTTCCAAAAACCAATCCATACACCACCTAATCATGCTTATTCCACTTGATTTTTAAGGTTTCCATCCTTCCCTAAACATCACATGATCCAGCAAAATTTTGGCAGTACCACAACTTGGAATATTCAAGCCAAAACCCTTACTAATCAAGCTTGAAACTTAAGGATAGGGATGCTTAAACATACCTTGATGTTTTCTTGATATAAACTGAATGATTCCTTGCTCAAAACCCTCTCAAATTCAGTCTCCCTTGGTTTGGAATGAAAATGGAAGCACCTCCCCTTCTTTTTCTAATTTTCCAATATTTTTCTTGTATTTTAGGAGGGGGTATTTATAGACCAACCAAGCTGCCTTTCCCTAGGATTTTTGGATGTCCAAAATGGATAAAATAAGGTGAGTTGGCAGCCATCAAATGCCTCAGCTTCAAATCTAGCCATGTGTCCAAGCTCTAGAGTTTTTCAACATTTATCCCTTAATTTTCTATTTTATTTAATTAAATATGGAGCTGTCCAGAAACTGCACAAATTTGGGCTTAAATTAGGCCTAATATAGGCCCCAAAAATGGTCTAGGGTGGTCCAAAAAGATGGCCCAAAATCCAAATCAAAATCCCAAATCATTACGACACTTTATCGGTTACTATTCACTAGTAATATTCCATAATTTTTTCAAACCTCCAAAAATTCATTTCTCTCCATGATGATTCACATTTTAATATGATAACATGATCTGAAAATTTTCAGAATTTTTAGTCACCTCTAGGTATTTATTTTAAATTTTCTCTGATTAGGCCTCTATTAGTGTCACTGTGAGAAAATAAATTCTCTAAAATAAATTCCTGAGCTTCCAAGGCCTAAAAATAATTTTTTAAATTCAAATAAATATTTAGATGATTTATCCATCTTTTTTACAAATTTATTGAGGCCTCTATCTAATTAAAATAATTATTTTCCTCTGATTTCTCAGTAATTTCCTGAAAAACCTCCGGTTGCGGGAAATTCCGTAACAATTTAACTTCACGATAATTTCACCTTTCAGGCCTCAAATGAGCTTTCAAAACCTCTAATTTATACTTTTTATTTTTTTGGGGAATTTTCTAGAATTTTTCTCCAAATTTCCTATTTTACCCTTCCTAGATTGATAATTACAACAACGC